GAAAAGAAAAATCTATACGAATGTTGAGTATAATTTTCATGATCGTTGCACGTATCTAACACTGCAAGCTGTTTTTTCTTTTCTCGGCAGATAATTTTCATGATCAGTGCACGTAATGTCACTCTATCGACGAACAGTTAAACAAGTCGGCTTGCGGCATTCACGCGGTGCAAATATGTTTCATTTTTCGGGTCTGACTTTTCGAGACACCCAGAGGGTCTGAGTTTTTCGGGTCTGAGTTTTCGAGATGCCCAGAGGGTCTGAGTTTTTCGGGTCTGAGTTTTCGAGACGCCCAGAGGGTCTGAGTTTTTCGGGTCTGAGTTTTCGAGACACCCAGAGGGTCTGAGTCAGTTCGGGTCTGGGGTCTAAGTTTTCGAAATCTGAGTCAGTTCGAAACACCCGTGGTCTCACACCTTTTCTCTCTTCACCTGTCCCAGATGTAGATGGGCTCTGTTCGTCTGAAGTAGGGCATGGATTATTATTTTGCTTTGTTGCCTTACTAAGAAATTCATTCCAGGCCTTTGAGAGTGGGTAGGGAATTTCCACAGCAAAGAGGACATTTCTAGTCACAGTTTTGGCAGCATATGCTAATGGGGACTGGGATTTTCTTGCTATTCAGTATGCTTTTCAATTTTTTTTTTTTTTGTTTTTTTTTTTTGTGGTTTTTATGTGGTAGGATCGTTGTGGGTCGTTTTGAGATCGTCCTCGGTGGTTTGAAGATCGTTGTGGTTCGTTCCGGGTTTTAGTGATTACGGCATTGAAGGTAAAATTAGCTTTGAAAAAATAGGTTATGAAAGCTGCATGGGAGGTAAGTCTAAACTTAGCCTATATATAGTCTATTACTAATGTCGAAGAATGCAAAAGTTGTAAAGAACGATGGGACTTAAGATGGCTTTACTGAGATGGTGGTTGGTGTATTCGCTTTGTGTATCGGCCTTTTCAAACGCTCTCTGAGATGAAGGTCGCAATGGGGTTAATCGTTAGCTGTAAAACGGCAAAGAAATTTAGACGTTAGGCGAAAAAATTTCCAAATTATAACCTTTAGTCGTAAAAGAAAAGTTCGCCGTAAAAGGATATTCCCTTAATTTTAATTACATTGAAAAGAAATTAACGGTTAGCCGTGAAATTGTCATTATTTCAACCGTTAGCCGTAAAAGAGACCCTTTTAAAAGGGGAAAGTTTTAAGGAACTCGTAACTTTCAACTGCCCTAAATCTTTCGACATAATTTTGGCTCGCGTGCTCGTTTTTACATCGGAAGTTGATATTCGATGGGCAGAAATTTTTAGGAACTCGGAAACACTTTCCTGCTCGTAAGAGGAGAACTGGGTTCGATGATTAGTTCCCAGTCGATTGACTTACATCTTAGACTTCGTGCCTTGTGCAATCCGCCTCCAGTTTCTGCCATTTTTCGGGATGACAATGCGTGCAATTATCTACAGAGGTGAAATCTAAGACAAATTTAAGTATAATGCCAGAGAATCACCGACTCCCCCTTATTGACGTGCTTTTAAAAGGCCTAAAACTCGCAGATTATCGCGATTATCGTCAAATTGAAACTGGCAGATGAGTACGAATAAGGGGATTCCCCGAAGCCAAGAGGTAAATTTTACCAAAATAGATGTTCTCAGTTTTCCTTTCCAAAATTACATTGGACGTCACTGCCAGAGCAACCGGCTAAATACCAGTTCGATCGATCTGTGAGCCAAACATTGAGTTTCTAGAGCGATAAATTTGACTGACTCGGTGCGGGACACTCGAAGAAGCTACAGAAAATAGTAAATTTCAGAAGCGAATATGAGTTCACAGAGTGCAGGTAACATAATGTCTATTGTGATGAATTCTTGCATGAAAGGCCCTTCTTTACTCAATTATGACTTGAATGTGAGTCACTGTTTACCAAGCAGAGCTGCTGCAGATTGTGTGAGATTGTGTCAATCAAAGGCTCTCGCGATATTCATCAGTATTATGCGTTTTTTGTTTTTCGTCCATGAAATTATTCGGCTAGTGAAGAGCAGAAGGCAGCTTTTTTGTGCATGCAGTGTAAAATATTTTAGTTTGGCTCTATTTATATTGTGTGCTTTGAAATATATTTTGTTTCAAATTTCAAGTGAAGCAATTCAAAGACGGCGAGGGATTGTAGGCGCATTAGCCGAGAAGTGCCTGTTGTGCTTCGCCGAGTGAGTCCTGGTCAAAAATCAAATTGGGCATCGCCACTCTTTCATTCTGCAAATTTTGCAAGCGTCTGATGTTCAGCAATAACATCGAGTTTGATAATGTTATTCTTTGACAAATGATATATCCGTAGATATCAAGAACTTTTCAAAACCAAAAAGATTCTTTCTGAGAGTTGGAAGGAATTGTAATTACAGTGTGTTTTTGTCATAGTATTACTGACCTTGTTCAATTATTTGAATGCTTCCCTTAAAATTTTGTTTGAAATTTAACTTTTTATTTTATTCACAGTTCTCTCCAATTTGTCCACAAATTTTAAATCACCAAGAGTGATCCAATGCAAATATTTTTTTTGTTGTATTTTATGGACTGATTATTTTGTTAAAATTACATATAGTGTATATATTTGTGTTCCCAACACACATGATAAAATTATGACAAAGTTGCCCCATATTTCAAACAGGGAATCGAAAATTTAAAGTGACTGTCAGTGGTGGGCATGTCCTTTGTGGTGATAATTCACGAATGTATGTCACACACAGAACAGGTAGGGAAATTTTGAGGAATTTGTTTCAATTTGAATTACGTTAGGTGATTGTGGCTTAAATGAAGAGAGATTCAGCAGCTGACATTTTAAAGAGAGTGTACAAGATCAGGCAATAACAGATCACTTTGGCTTAATTAAACCTTTTCACCCAAACACGGATACTGAGAAGTGTTTTTTTAAGAGGGCAATGATCTTCTTTTCTTCTACGAACTTAATGAGGGATGAAACTTTATCTTAAATAACTGTTGGACAAAACTAGAGGCTTGTGCGGAAAGGCTTCTAAGGCTTATTTGCCCTCTAAACATAACAGTTGGTGTAAATATGTATTAACTAAAGTGAAGATGAAAAAAAGAATTATGAATTTTTAAGTCTGTCTGAAAAATGTGTAAACCTTAAATCCATGAACCATTTCTTCATTATTTGTAAAGGTCCAACAAGGTATCACACTTTGTCATCAAAATCAACAATTGCTGAAATTACTGGTCCAGGTAATATATGATTGTGGTCCTATTATTCCATGGCAAAAATTGGTTAACCACCCATAGTCTTAACATACTGAGAAATTTCTTATGATTGGTATACTGGATAAAGAGATTTGGGTTCCAGTCCCAGACTGAGCTAGTGCACCAGCTCTCTGATAGTGCTGCATGCAATCCACTTATTAATAAAAGTATATATGTGGAACAGAAAATATTTAGGCAAAAGAAACAGTGTTTTTTTTTTTATACAGTTAACCCCTCATTCACCCTAATTGTATCATAGATTTTGCAATGTTGCCGGCACAGAGATTTGACTAGAAACAGTTTCATTATAAGTTGTCATGAGACCACAGTAACAGAAAGAAATTGTAGGCACATATGAATATCAGTTTGTAAACTTTTCACATTTATTAAGTGCTTTGAGGTATAGTCACTATGCTAGAGCCCAGGGAGGATCAATATTACTCTTGTTTTGTGCATTGCTTTTGCAGCTTCTTGCCATAAAGATTTCTGGATTTTCTTTTCAGACCAGTTGATATCATCAATACCTTACACTGTGTACTCTCAACTCAGTGCACTGTTGACAAGGGACCACATAAACATTGCAGCTAGACTGTTCAACTTGACTCTAGAAGAGGCAATGTTGCTAAGAGACAATGCAGACCATGCGTGGCAAAGAATGGATGCAATTTTCCAACTGATGAAGGAACGCAACTTGAATCTTGGCCATCTTGTGGAAGTGTTGATGGAAATGAAGAGATATGATGCCCTTAGTGTCCTCATTAAAGCTGGCTATCCTGACCATCCAAATCTTTATCCAAGTGTTTCAGGTACAGGTTATGTTCAAGCTAGGGTAGACCTACTCTGCACTGTCACATGGGTGTAGCGTGACAATTTACTGCCTTTATGTGACTGTGTAGAATTTAGTTGAAGAGGCAAAAAGATGTGCAGATTGAATATGCAAAAATTTCCAATCTCACTAGTGTTTCATTTCTTTGTATGTATTTCCTTTTTTTATCATGCACACATAAAAGCCAATTTACAATGTGTGTATATTGGAATATTTACAAAGTGCTAGAAGAATATCCAGATCTCGATCACTACTGATTGTCTGTTTTATCGGTGATATGTTTTGTTGCTGTTTTTATCACTAAGGATAATGATGACACTGAAAATGTAATGATGATGTTGTTAATGGCATTAATGCCTGTATATTGTGCAACAAACAACCCATTCAGTGAATGGAATTTTAAAAAATTGAAATACGCAACTTGGAGGATTTATTAGCAACTGCAATCATCAATGTTTCATCTTAGTTTATCGCAAAGAAAACCACATAATAACAAAGGAGTGCCAGGTCATCATTTCCCTTTGTTGGCGAAATTAATACATAATTTCTCATCTGTATTATCATATTTTTAAAAGCAGTTCAGGGAATCACACCTGTCTTGTCTGATTTCAGAGGAGGAGAGCATTGAAGAAGTAACTGATAACCCTACTTTGTCGAGTTCAGAAAGCAGTCCCGTGAACCCTTCACATCTTGAAGACAGAACAAATTCTAAAGACTGAGCTCAGCTTCATTGTTAATCACTAATAGACAACTACCCTTCTTAAGTAGAAGCAAAGTTTCTCCATCTTCAGCCTCCTTTCCAAGGCTTCTGTTGACACAACTGGAATATTTATCTATCTTATTTATTTCTTTTGTTTAATTATTGGTCACGAAATATGTCATAAAAGTTTATTTATCAATATTTACATTTTGATTTCAGTTTTGATTGCTATTTAAAGACAGATTTTGACATTGTATGACTTATTGTATTTATTAGCTAATTAGGTTGCCATGGGAATTGGTGAAGAACTTTTTTCCCCCTCTTTTTGTTCAGAAAAGACATGATGTAGCAGTCACTAATAGAATGGACCAGACTACATTTTTTAGTAGTAACCTTTAGTTAATTAAGGCATTTTACACATTAAGTCAGGCCTCAAGTGTGTTACAAAAACAAACAAACAAAGACACAAACTAAAGATGAAAACAAATTTATATCATACTTAATGATGAAGAATGATTACAAAAATGTTTTAGAATAAAATGACAAAAATTTATTACTATACAAAGTTTGCTCCCAGTGCCTTTCAAAGTTTTTTTACCCCTTTAGCAGTTTCCAACTTTAGATCAAGGATTTAAATAGAATTGATGGGTGACACACCATTATAGAAATGCCGGTAATCTGCTGTCTCAAGTAAATTTTAAACTTTTTTGTATTATTACACTCATGGTTTGGTAGCATTCTGAGTAGCATTGGTAGTTAAAATATGTAATTTGAGCCCATATATAGACTGGATACAAAAGAATTAATGGCATCAAATCTCATAGCATCTCTTGAGAAAAAATATTGTTTTTCAAAACCTGAACAATGTTGTATCGTTTTACCCAGGATTTTTGAAAGTGAAAGATTCCGTGGAGTTGATTAATATGAATTCGCCCACGGCTAGCAACGTATTATGTTTGGAGGCATCTTCGGCTGAAAATACCAGATGACAAAATGGTCTTAAGGGGCTTTTCCCAAGGTTTTTGCACTTTCGAAACGAGAGGATAAAAGAATCTTTTCACGGATTACTGTACAGACAAACAACGGTACCATACATGTGCAAGAGAAGGTGACGTTTTTTATTTTCCTAGTCGAGTAAAAAGTCATGGTTATTTCCATATTTACAGATCTACACTGGTAAGCGTATTGCAAAGATCACATATTTGAAACACGTAAGTGCCACCTTAAAACTTGCTGAACAAAAACCTTTATTACTGTTAGAATTTTGATGTTATTAGATGGTCTCTATCATCAGTTGTCCGTGGTGGAGATTACAAGGTTTGTTCTTGGCTTAAAACAAGGAAAGAGTGATCCAATGCCAGCGTTGTCTAAGGTCATAAAAAGGACGAGCTATCACGCAACAAAGTTTTATCAATGTTATATAAATAGATCCCAGAGGCGAATTTTACCGTTTACCTACAAGTCCGCAATTGATGTCGAATTACTGATCAGAAATATCACATAATTATAACTATTTATTTTTCATGTCCTTCTTTACTATTTTCTGCTGTTTAAGTTCTTTGCGTTCTAGTATCTTCAAGATCCACAATTGTGCGAACAAACTTCATAATGCAATTAAAAAGGGTTTGCTTTATAAAACACGCATATCCGGATAAGAATTTGACTCGCGAAGGGGATTACTAAAAATAACCATTTTCACTTTCTAATTGACATATCCACAATGCATAATAAAGCGAGTTTAATTAAATTTAATAGGCGTCATGATAATAATCAAACACAAAGCATAAGAAGTGTACAAATTTCATGCCATTTGTCAAACAACCTTGTTTCCTAGTGTTAACAAATCTGATGGCTGGACCTCTACAAGGTACCTATATTTCATACTTACGAGATTCATTATCGAAGGAGGCTTTTTACCCAAATCGTATCAGGATAAACAGATAAGCGAAAACAAAAACATGCTAAGCTTTTTTCTTACTTTTGAGGTTACCGTGCACCTTCAGGGGTGTCTCGCGTACAAGCGATGCAGTGCTTCCGGTTTAAACTGTAGATATCTAAACCCCTATATTAAGTTAAAGCTTATAGGACCGGCTATCAGACTATACCAAATATATTGAAAAAAAAATGAATTGTCGAATTTTTCACGACTTCTAAATGCGAGCGCCCGAATCACCTTTTGAGAGCTACAAGTCAAAGGGAATTTGTTCAATTGCTCTCAAATTTTGACAGTAGTTAGTTTTAAGCCCTGGTCAAACGGCGCATGATAGTCGATGATAGTTGAAGCGTGCGCTTCCGTTTGACCACCAACTATCATGCACTATCATCGACTATCACCAACTATCATTCATTTTGAGCTTGTTCAAATTCTTCATGATAGTCGATGATAGCTTTTCTCGTTTGACCACGCGTATGATAGTTCATGATAGTTTTTGGTCAGCTGTTTTCCCCGAAAATCGGCGGGCTCCTTTAAAATGGCCGCCAAAAGCTCCTCGCGAGGCTCAGCTTCAGCTTCAGAAATTCGTTTTTATACCCAAGATAATAAATTA